ACATTTTGGAATGTAGTCGATTGTGTATTCGAAACACGCATTACATACGCGTTTCGGGAAATTCGGAAAAGCATTTGGGTATTTGCTATAACAAATTTTTAAAAAGCGGCAGCGTGAAAGTAAAATGAGTAAATAAATTATGATAATTCTTCAAAATCACTTGATTAGACAGTTTTAGGCAAAAGATATTAAAATAGGCATTAACCGCATTTTTAGGATATTTTAGGCACTAACAGTAGATATATTTTTTCGTGATTTGTAAACATCTGCAATAATTTTCCACAATATCCTAAAGGAACTAATTAGGCATTTATCCTAAAATTCTAGGACTAGTTATTACAAATACAGTATTGAAGTTAGATATTTTTTCTTAATTAAAACTGTTCTCCAAAGACAGAACTTTAAATAAGGCCATGTAAAACTTTTCGAAAATATGAGTTATTTTCGTTTTATTTTGCGTGGAAAATGGGCAATTTTAAAAACACTATTTTCTCACCAACAGCCCCAATTGTTTCCGTTCATTTTTCTGAAATAGAGCAAAATACGTTTATAAAAATAATATATGGCCCTTTTTTAGTGAACTCTATTTTCGAAAATTGCAAAGATTAGACTTGCAAAAGTATAATATTGATGATAGAATTTTTTTACTGTATGAAATATTTCCTTCAGTGATAGTACTTTAAACAAGATCATGAACAATATTCTAAAAAATGGAGTAATTTTCAGTAGTTTTTGCTAGAAGTAATTGCAATTTATTAATTTTTTCAAAAGCAGCTTCAACTATTTTAAAATTATTCCTCGGGTAGACCAAATGTTGCGAGCCATTTACGTTGAACTAGCTTCTTTTTTGTAAACTGCAAAGTTACAAATAATGCAAAAAAGTATGTGCTGTTGTACAACTTGGTTTAATAAATTCCTCTAATGAGTGGTTTTGCTACGTCGATGAAACTGGCCCATATTTTCAGTCTGTTTAAAACCGAACGTTGTGCATTTTTGTTGGTTTGCGAATACCTCTCTCTTAATAAAAGCGTCATTGCTATCTTTTCAGCTCCGAATGAAGAAATCGTTTAACATAAGGTTCTTTGGAGAATGATACATAAATCCTGACGTTAAATCGTAGCAATTGCATCAAGATGTTGTATGTAGTGTTATAAATATTACTTTATTTACGTTCCATGGTTGATAAGAATAAATAATTTGTTGAGATGCGTTAACAGAAGATTGATGTAAAATATTAATTTATATTCTTTTTTACCGATACATTACAACTTGTTATTGCATTCGATACGGAGATCTATAAACAGTGCATAACTTACATGAATCGAGATAGTTGTGGTTATGATACGCGGGAAGTTGTGGGAAATACGATAAGAGTTGAATGATACACTCTTAAGGAGAGAATTATGGAAGGGAAATATGAAAAGACAAACCGAGTCAAGTTAACATCTAGTTAATTAATAAATAAGTAATTCTGAATCATTAAAAGTAGGTAAAAAAATTAAATTATGTATGTACCACGGGTGTTAACTGGTACTAATCTTCTAATCCTCTCCTCGGATCAAAAACCCTCGGGCATTTTGTCGTCGCTCGATCATTAGAACCCTTATAACGCTCTTGGTGCATTTCTTACTATTCTTTTATTGGAGCTAAGAAGAAACGCCAGTATAGAAGGCCTTTTTCTGAATCCCCAAGGGGCTGGTAGAATGTCTTCATACCGCGTAGTGGAAGGGAGGTAGGTAGGCGCTGGGGAAAGAGGCGGAGCCGCTTGCGTTTCCTTCTCACCGTGGCGAGGTTTGCTCAGTCTGCACCCATCACAAAAGACAGTTTCCAAGCATTTTGAGCGGATACCCCTCTGTAAAGGATTCGAGAAACTTTGTGTCAGAGTGTGCACCCTTCATCTTCAAGGAACTCATTCCTCTTTTGTCCATAAAAAGCAAAGCGTGTTTGGTTTTTGTATTTCACTACGTCATGTTGCATCCTCCCATTGATTGTGTTGGCTTCGGCTACATAACTGGTACAGTTGTTTGTTTGCATTTATGAAGAAGTGTATTTTATTGGGCTTATTTAATTTGCATTTGGTTACGCAATCGGCGTCAGTGACATCCCCTTTTGACAGGAATGGTGCATGGCGGAGCCACCAACTTCGCTTGGCGGCGGTTTTCGTTGCTTCGTTAGGCCCAATATTCGCCTTCCGACATCACTTATCGGTTCCTACATAATTAGTTGAAGGTTGAAAATTTGGTCTTGTGCTCAACACCCTTTATTGCGCACTGAATGTTCCCCACTGACCTGCGATTACGTCATGTGTTTGGTGCATCAAAACCATTAGTGTAGAAAATATTCATACAAATTTAATTTTTGGAAGTTGAAGTTCTTTATCTCAAATCTGCAGTTAGGAAAATAATTAAATTCCCAATATTTTTGCTGCATCGATTTCTTTACGAGTATTATATGTTTTTAGTTATTGAGTATACAATTGACCCTTTGCATTCGAAGTAGGTTTTGCCATTGCTGATGAAAAGTCTATTTTCAAATTATTATCTCTTAGACAATTGTTATGTTGTACAAATGTCAGTAAATTATAATTCAATGACATTTAAACGTAGCCTTGCTGATATATAACGGAAGAAACTTTTTTTTACATAAAACGTCCAGACATACAGTTTTTGTACTTTCGATTGAAAATATTTTGAAATCCACTCCTGTTTTGCGATACCGCCCCTACTACATAATTCACTTATATTTTGAACATTTGTCCGTATGTATACTCGTGCGCTTTCCCTTTCTCCCACTATACACTGCAATGGCCTCTCTGAGGGCAATATACACGTTTGTGGGCTGGGACAATTACTACTTATCTTAGAGTTTGTTGAAATCCATGAAATGGCGTCCCTAGAAACAAAACGCTGAAAGATCCACTCGTATTCGGAATAGTAGGGAAAGCTAAAAACAATATAATTTACTAGGAATGTACTTCCCTCTTAATTCCCATGCCTTTAAGGAAAGTTCAAACTATCTCTGTATGAGTTTCATTGTCATTTAATAAAATTTTATTCATTCATAGTTGATAAGCAATGATCTGATGGCCATTAGATTTAATTCGATTGTTATTATATTGCGGAAAATCGTGAGACATCAAATAAATCCGTGGTCAGTAACACTTCTTGATGAGTTCAACATTGTGTTTGCATGCAAATCACAATAGAATTATGAACCCAACAAACAATTTATTTGCCCAAAGACACCTGACTCGAGCAGCACCATCCCATTGTAAAGGAATCGAGTGCAAGGCTTCTGGGGGTCTTGCGCCTAGGTATGCAAACCGCCACACAAAGCTGTCCAATTGTGTTCCCGGCGTAATCCTCATCGTAAAATAAATTACATGCGCTGTTTCAGAGCAAAACTTGCGGGAGTAAAGGATCAGTCTGAAGAGAAAGGAATAAAACGAATACACAAGCCGAGGAACGGGAAAGAGCAAGCTGCAAGATGAAGGGGTATAGAAGAAACAGGAAAGAGCGTGAGAAGTTATAGAAAGAAGTTGTTGCCATAGCCCGTAGATGAAACGAAACTAATAAACTAGCAAAATCACTCCTTTTGTTAAGCGCCACAATAATTATAGTTGTAACACTGTAGTAGTATAAAAAAAACTACTTGAATTTTCATGAGTGAGAGGTAATTATCATTATCGTGAGGTAATGAGTGTAGAATTGAATTTAAATGCGTTTAAAAGATGTTCGTCAAATTTAGAAAGCTCTTCGCTTCTCGTTCCTTTTCTTTGTCATTCACTTTGATATTGAATTACTGGCGCCCTCCACGCACATTATGACAGAAAAACATTCAGATATTTTATTTTCATTCTCCCTTATCAAGATTCTCTATGGCTGTCGACCAATCACATTCGTCTTAGTTCATTATACACGACAGAGGGTTCTCGCAGTTGCCTACAGAGGGCAAGAGCTCTAGTGCTCTGCCGTGGCAGGTCGCAACTGTCGTAAGACAAGGAAACCACGAAACTATGCAAGTTGATGATTGTTAGGAAGGTTTTGTGGATTATTTCATGTGAAAAAAAGTCTACCGCAAACAGTCTATTGCAATCAGTAGAACATAAAACAACTATGTTGCAATCAGTAGAACATAAAACAACTACTCACATACAAGAAACATCTTGTTCTACTAGTAAATATATTTTAATGAAATCGGCTCAAATAAAGAGTCAATTCCCTAGATAATAAATATCACGAGATGCCCTAATTTCACAATGAATTACCCCAAAAAGTAAATCTAGACTATTTATGTTTGTATTACTTGTTTTGTTTACTTATGTGTAGTTAATGTTATAAAATAATTAAGTAATGAAGTAAAGCGAAGTAAACGTAAAATATTTAAGTAATGAATGTAATATTATTTCAAAAAATAAAAACGTTTCAAATGTTTTCATTAAGTATTGTTAAAACATTAATTTCAAAGTCCTAGAGAACGTTTAGTCTTCTACTCGCACATAATGGCTAGTATTCACTCGTAGATATTCCGACTGTCGCTCCTACGTCGCTCTTGTCATAAACATCACTCGTGAATAATAACATTCTACGATTGTTGAAGAATTAGAGGGGTTACTTTCGATGATAAAGGAGACGAGATTTTTTTTAAACCTATGAGATTACGTCCCAATGTCATCGTACATTCTTAGATATAAGTTCCTAAACCTTTTAAGATCATAAGTTCCTAAAACCAGGAATTTTAAAACAGAGCTGTTTCTTTTACAAACACTCCGAACATAAGTTAAGGATATTCTTTGCATTTACTTTGTAGTTGTACGAGTATCACATTCAATTTTTTTTTGTAATTGATGAGGTTACTTTTCCCATTTGGGTACTTGAAAGAAGGCAAACAATTTTCTGAAAAGCCTGCAACTAGATCACCATATTCGCACCATTCCGAGGAAGAATGCGCTAACAATTTACGTCGTAAGTTCTAATTCTGCTCTTGGACTTACCTTTGAACGAAGCGTTCGGAGGAAGAAGCGAGGGAAATGCCGTCCTTCGTGAAGCGATGAGGCAAGTGGAAATCCAACAGACGATTGAGTACGGTCAACGCTGAGTATCGCTCATTTCTGTACAAACAGAAAATTAAAAACACTTAAAATTATTTCTATAGCTTTACAGATGATTTAGGGAAGTTTTTAACAACCGTTTTTCTAACTTTTAAATCTGGGTACGTTAGGTACAAATGTAATTATTTTAACAAATCTCTTACGAATTTTCAGTTTTTAAATACTACTTATTTCAACCGACAAGAAATATCTTATTTGATCGAGCATGATATCATCCACAAATGTAATTCCTTAAGCAATGTTGACCTTAACCGTACAAATATCGTGCACATGGTATGGTTAGCAATTTCATTTGGTGTCTTAAGCAACAATTTTCTCCTAAAAACTGAAACTCCGTACGAAAGAAATCAATTTGCAAGAATTAACTGCTGTAAACTAACTCTAATATTATGCACGTTGTGTGTTTGTATCAATTCCTAGGCCATTGAAACGACACGTACAGTTTCCAATCAAAACTTTGCGTGAGTAATGACCGTCCTGGGTTTCTCAAGAATACCAGAAGCGAGAAAGAGAGGCCGAATGAAATCGCGACCTCCCTTCCAGCGCGAGTGCGCAGTGCGCTGTTTGGGCGCTCGCGGCGCTGGGGGCGCTGCAGCCCCTCGTGCAGCCGCGTGCCGGAGGCCGAAGGCGCAGCGGGGCCGAGGTATAGTGCGGGGGCGTGGTGGCCGGTGGCGGCGGTGCCGCCCGCGCCCGCGCCGGAGCAGCCGAATCCAGTTGCGGCCGCCTCCCGCCGCCTGCAAAGGTTGCGCACGAGTCAACGCGGTGCCAGCGGCGCCCACCGTCAATTGATGGCGCGCGTGCAAGTCATGCGGCATAACAGAGATCGTCCACACCTCTAATCAATTAAACAAAACCGTTGGTGGAAACGATTACGTCTTGAGTTATACAATGGCAATATCTCGCTAGTATGTCATAAAGCATATCAATTACTTTATTGCTTTGGTGAAGAGGATTTGAACCATTAAACACAGTGTTTTAAATCAGAAGTATCTTCAAAATATGAATTGAAAAAATGATAAAAGAATGCATCGAGAGACGCGTTCTTCTGAAACTAAAAAATTCAAAGATTTTCCTACAAAACATGAATGTAGGAGTGTTAAGATTAATCCAAAGTTTTCTCAAATCCCATTCCCAACTCTGAAAGGTCCTCAAGAATGACATATCTCGACTCCTCTGAACCTTTTTCCTATGATATCAACATCAATAATAATAATAATAATAATAATAATAATAATAATAATAATAATAATAATAATATATGCCTAACTGCATCACAAGCAAACCTACAATAACTGATTAACTTTGAAAGAAAAGTTCTGAATATTTTTTTCATTTGGCACATTTTTATCAAGCACAAAACGTCAAGGATTATGTGTTGCATAAGGTGGCTAAGCTGCTTATTTTTGTGATGCGTACATCAATGCGGTGCTTTTACTCCTTCTACCTAGGACCTTGCGTCGGGAAGTGTCCAAAGTGTGTGATTCAGATAGTAGGCTTTAAAACAGGCCGATTTGAAACCGATCATTGAGTTACGCTATAAATACACAAGACGTCATGTGCGCCTTCTGTTTGGAAAGACCGTTGTATTTAGTTTCAACATTTATTAGAGTTTCGTTGGTGGATTATAATGATAAAAGGTTGAGCTTTATTTGGTGAAATGCAGTAAAACCTAATTTTAATTCGTTATTTCACCTTTCGAATTCTTTCCTTAATCTTTTTTTTTTTAACTTTAAACGAATCGGTTACTTGAAAACCACTTATAGGAGTCGATATTACAACTCATAAGAAATGACGTAGATCCCTCGAAAGGACTCACTTTCTTAAAATCTCAAATCGGAGCTGGGAGGTGCGTGGTGGACGCGAAGAAGACGAAATGCAGCGTTGCGGATCGCCTCGGTCGTCTGCGTGCATTGACGACCGCTTGCGCCGACGCCGGCTCTATATCTGCACAGTATCGATACCGACACGATGTCGGTAGGATATTTTCACGTGCGACACGGCACACGTTGTTGTTGCCGACGGGAGCTTCATGGTAGGAGCTAACACATTGTATCTATTGTATCTATGTGAGACGCCAACAACGAAATAAGTTGGAATTATTGCTCATACCCATCCTCCAAATATTCAAAAATTTCCTGCCAACTTTTGTCCTAAAGTACTTTGATTTTTTTTCATTGATTTTATCTCGAATAAAGTGTATACATTCCACTAGTTCTATTAAATATCTATATCGTATTTACAACTGGCCATTGAAGTTAGTTCTAACCAAAAAATTACGTACTACTCACGTTATAAAAAAAATAGTACAAACGTCGACGGCATGAGTGGAGTGATTGCTATCTGCCGACAGTATATCCCGTACCGATACATCGGCGAGGATGAAAGCATTCTCGTTAAATATGTACAGGGGATTAGGCATCATTGATGTGTCGGTAAATGCGAAAACGCCCATTGAGGAGGCACCAGTTGGTGAGAAAGCATTTTCGCGTGAGACGGACATTCAGTCACGTCAGCAGTTGTTGGCATTTGTAGGGAAAGCTGTGAATTCCTGCGTAAGGCTCTTGGTGGAAATACATGGGTGAGTTCCTCGTGCACACCGATTTTTCCTCCTTCTGCGCAACACCAGTTTGCGGCACAAATCACGTGGCCACGGCACGGGCACTTCGTATGATAAGCCAGACATTTTGATAGTGGTACAACATGGCAGTTTTCAACAATAACCAACCAAAAAAGCCACGATGAAGTTGTACAAGATGCAATATTTAAAAGAAATGCTTCATAAATGTGTTGCAATGTCTAGTAACGAGGTGATAATTTTGGTATCTGGCTGAATGTTAAATTGCCCAAAATCTCAAATGCGATGCGCAAGAGCCCCCTCCCGGTAAGGCTTACAAAGGATAGTTAATTCGTTCCAAAGATGTTATGCAGAACCCCATCAAGAGAAGATCTTCAAAGAAGATCCTTTACACCACTGGCGTCCGCCCTGTAGTGGGGCGCCATCTCTTGAACTACATACGCCAGAAACACAGCTTATGCGCCCGTTGACGCATCGCATGTCTGCTATCTCGCTGTGGTGCAGTGAGAATCGAGAGAAGCCTGACAAATGGCGCACGATGGCCAGTTCCAGCGGATCGCGTTACTACTTGCGCTCAAGCGTCGCCTGGGCCTTTACGCACGGCCCGCGTGGGCAGAGTTTACTCTTTCTGCCCCACGTCCCGACCTCCTGGTCCGTGGTACCGTTTAAAACATCATCATGTATGTGTCAAGAATATTCTGGAGGCAATCGCCTTGTCACTTTTACAATGCGTCCAGGAACCGCATTTCAGCAGGAAAATTATCGAATTTCTTCCATTCGCACGCAAATAATATCCCACCGTTGCCCTGGCCAGCCACATCACCTGATCTGTGGCACATTGAAAATGCCTTGGACAAGCAAAAATCATAGATGAAGCCGTACCATCGTCCACGAAGAAATCTTCAACACTGGAGGCGAGTGCAAGTTCGCTCTCCCGCAACGCACCATTCGAGCGAGTTACTTGATCAAAATCCTCAGCGCATCAGCTGGTAAAAGACTCAAACATTGGCCACTCAGCATTAGCCACTCAACGGGAAGTACAAAAATACTAAGTCAAACACATTTACATGTCCCGCATCCAATGAACACTTCTGTTTACAGTTCCCCCTGCTGTAAAAATAATTCGAATGATATAGTAATTGATAGAGTATTGAATAACACGCATATGCATATACTGTAACTCAACCATGTGTGAAATGTGGGAAAAGTTTACAGTCTCTTAAATAATGGTAAAGAAAGGGATTATAACCGTCTTTCTTCTTTCTTTCATTCTTTCTTCGAAAGTGAAAGAAAAAGTGAAACATCTAGAACAAATGTCCAGCGCTAATGTTTTTATAAATTACTTGAACATATTTATAGCTTCAGAATAATAATGCCACAATGATCCAGAATTTTGCCGCACCGTAGCATTAGAGTTTTAAAACATGGAAATGTACATTTTCTGATATCAGCATATTCTTTAAGCTGCGCAGCCTTCACAATATTTATATATCTTTTTAATTGGCTTTTCATATTAAAACGGACATGATGATATATTTCTGTTGTGTTAAGTTTCAATTATCCTACTTAGCGAAGAGCATAGAGAAATAACAAATTGAGTATATATATTTGTATCCATTGTGCATTAAACAATTATGGCTTTTGAGCGAGTTGCCCGATCACATACACTCTTCAACATTATTAGTGTATTAATATGATCTCAGATTTATTACATACTGACCACAGATGTATGTTTGAATAATAAATGTTTTGCAGGCCAATATGGCTTATACGTACTGATTCAGGTAGAATATTGTACAGCTATTTTCAAAAGAAATAAAACGAGCGATTAGCGTCATTGCAAAAACTAGAAATTGAGTCGATGGGTTCGGCGCTTGAAATCTGTAACCTCTCCCGTATAAAAGACTGAATGACGAAGTGCAAGAAATAAAAACCGTATTGCGAATGCAACAGAAAGTAATACAAAAGCAGCAATGTTGTGAAGCCGGTGGCCGAGGAGGTCGCCCCGCATGCGCGCATGTGCGAAAAGACCGTCAGCAGCGCCGTGCCAACTACGCATGAGGAAACTCTGCCTCAAAGGGCGGCCAAGGCTCTCAGGGCGACTGGCTTCAACTGGAACACGTCCTAAGTGGAGGAAAACGACTTGGGCACCAGGGACCTTTCCTCATCGACGAAACATGTCAGTAGAAGGGGGCGGGAGGTGAGAATCAGCGAAAGAGGAAAGAGAGACCCATTATCCATGCTGTTTTTAATTTCGGGGTCTGACATTTGCACATCGTCCACTTATTCGGTTTCTTAACGTATGTGTTGGTCATGTTTAGTTGTTAAGGTACTCGAAATGTTTCGCTGCTAGTAAGTATTGTGAGGTCCTTTCTAAGAGGCAATAATATGCTATTCGACTTTTCCTAATTGTGTCTATGATTACTACGTTCCTGGGTATGACGTCTTCTCACTAAACGTCCTCCCGCGATTTCTAGCTCCTCTATTATAATTTTCATAAATAATAATATAATTATAACAATAACTATCTGAACCTTTGCGATTAGATTGCACAAAAAAAGAACTCTAGAACAATTACTACAAAAAGGACTAGGAGTATACACTATATGGAAAATCGAAAAAACAAAAATATTAATTCATGTTGTACCTATTCTCCAAAACTGATTGAATGAGTAAAGTTTACAAATTCTATAAAAACACAAGCACGATTCTTTGTGAGTTAACCTAGAGTTAAAGAGGTGTCTAAAAACATAATGGAAGTGTATTCTCCCAGATCTTTGTATATGATGTTGTGAACCAATGTACAATATCCTGCTATCCACTTAACTTTAAAACGTAATGCAGCTCTTATAATTTGTAAATAGTTTGTAAAAGGACGCGTGTGTAAGACATCATAGCGTTTATTTAACCTTTCGAGCCATTTCATCTCTAAATATTTAATAAAAAAATGTTTTAGACGTAAAAGATGAAACAATGAAGTAGGAAAACAAAACAGTGACAAAAGAAGGCGAATTTAGGGTGTGATATTGGATCTTTCAGACGTAAGTAGATTTTTTCCTTCAAATCTTTATTCTTCCTATTCAACATTTATATTTTAATGGGTGTTTCAATATAATCATTCGTGACATTTTGATACGATCCCGAGTCATCAGGCAAGCTGACTACTACTTATTTACTTTTATAGTTCTTGCAACATGAGTAATACTGTAAATAATGAATATCTATCATTTGATTGTAAATTCTCGAAAATCAAAATACGTTCTCTTCCTTGTTTTTGCCCAGCTTTGCTCATATATAAGCTCAATACTATAATAATCCTTCTTTATTGCGAACGTTCTTGTATTGCCGGCTAACATCGAATTATATTCAGTGTTCTACATATCATGATTTACGGGTATCGACATACGACTAATTACTACTTACTTTGCCGTATGTTGACGAAACGTTGTTACGTTGCCGTTCACGCGGATCGACGATTTCTGAAACTTTATTCTGGATGGAAATTGTTTAGATTGACTGCAATTCATTACTAAATAATCAGCCTTTTTTGAAATAAAAGAATATAAAATTTATTCATTGCTATCATTGACAAAGCATGTTCACCTTTGAATTTATTTTTGCATTAGTTCATTTCGTATTTAAAAATTACCGGTTCATTTGTGTAAATCCAATAAAATCCGAATTTTTAAATTTTTAAGTTCTTTCTTACTTAATTTGATAAATATAGTTTTAAAATGCTTTCATACGAAATCTTCGCGCGCTCTTCCCCCTTCTCGGATGATTCCTTACCGCAGTAAAATGTGAAAGGCTTCCACGGCGTCTTCTTTTTTCTGTCGTAGAAGGTGAAACGCCAAATTTTCCCTATATTACCTAGGGCGTTTCCGTCCAATAAGTATTACCGAATGATTACGACACATACTAATATTTAATTTCTAAACAAGTTCACTGAATAGTGATTAATTTAAACATTCCGTATGAAATATACTCCCCTAACAAAGCACTGCAGACGGGTGCCTCCTCCGTGTTACTTTCCTAACATACATAAATTAACTCTTGCAATTATATTCATTAACGATCTCATTCCTAATCTAAAACAATATTTAACGAATCGTAGTTTCTGTATATTATTCGAATATTAAATTTTACAAAATTACCAATATAACATTTAACATCATTTTAGTATTTTTCAGAATTAAAATTAACAATATTATTCCCCTCTTGCACTTTATATCAAATTGTTCCCAACGCAATTGAATCTACCATCCTATAGTTCGACGGTTGCAGACATAAAAGGGTGATTCTCTAGTTATGACTACACCGCCTATGAGAACCCTATTTTTTTCTATTTACACGGGGATTTGCTTTCCTGCATATAAGAATTGTTTTCAAATGAATGCATTTATAGTTCCCGCATCAGCTGTTATTTATATTCCGATACTATGGCAACTTATCTATATTGCCCACGTTCAAACCTTTTAACCATAAATTGTAATGAATATATCAAATTATTTATATTGAAAAAAAGGGGTCTTTTGACTCATCGCAGTTAACATGTAATGTAAATAATAAGATATTTACGAAACTAAGAACATTGCATTTTATTTAAAGGGTGTAAATTATGTTCTTGTGAATAATCGCGCAATATTTAAAATATGAATTAGAACAGATAACAATACATGTTTCTGTGTCGGAAAAAAATATGGCCGTGTTTTATTAATTACCAACAGAGTTACATCTGAAACCTTGCATAGTCACCGGGCCACATATAATAAAATAGTATCTATTATCAAGGTGCTGTGAGGAGAATGATTAATTTGGGAGTTAGTCGAGAACAGGAAGACTTAGTAAGCCGGACATCAATAAAACATAGATATTGAGAAAACGGAATTATTAAATAGAAATGTAAATAAATTGTCAGGATTTTTCTTTGGAGGGAGGAAATGAAATATCGCATAAAAAAATCTTCAAACTTCAATCACTCACTATCTTTGCTTTATTAATTTTTAACCTCATGATACTTGGATATCATTACACTGTATTGTAGTGAGTATTGAAAATGTAATAAACAAATGACGGCATTCTATTAATTCTGATTATTATTAATATTTCCTTTTATAAATGTATTGATCCATGAATATTCGTGAATAAATGATGAAAATATCTTCACATTTCACTGAGATGAAAATCTCGTCGTATTGTAATCGAGTTATACAAACTGTTAGGTAAAATATGAGGCTCGTTAGTCTTTATGTTCCGTACTACATCAAATAATCACAAATGCGGAATTGAAGGGGGAAAAGCGAGTATTCTCTCCGCTGTAATAAATCTTGTTTTGAAATGTAAAAAGTATTTTAGTATAATTCGTTGCGAGAGTAACGTTACATTATGAGTATTTAAAGAATATAGAAATTATTGAAAATATTTGAAAGCAAGATATCGAAGAAATCTGAAATCATATTGTACAGCTAAGACCCTTGGTAAATATTAATTGAATAGGATAGCGAAACACTCTCGGAACTATTCTTCCCAATCTTGGAATCTTGGAGTTGTATCTCTTTGGGCAACACCGTCTAGAGAAGAACTACTGGAGGAAATATTGCTTTGGGGCAGAAGGAAGGAATTGAAGGAAAGCCGTCCGCTATCAAACGCGCCCAGCGTCAGCGTCAGCGCCGGCGCCGGCGCCGCAGTACCGCATTCCACCGGGCGCTGGTGGCGGCTGTCTGTGGTGGCGGTTGGGCGTGCGGCCGCTAGGTGTCGGGCGCGGCACCTGCGGCGTTGCCACCTGCGCGGGCGGTGCGGCTTGTGGCCGGCTCTCCGCGCGTGCCTTCGTGCCGCTCGGCATTGGCAGTCGCCGCGTCGCCTTCGCCTCGCCAACGCCAGCGCGGAGCTTGCCCAGCCCAGCCACCAGCATGCCCGGGAAGCGCTACGCCTTCGACGCCGAGCCGGCGCCGCCCAATCCCTTCGACCGGCCGCCCCCCAAGGGCGCCTGGCAGTTCTTCTTCGACTCGGAGCGCGGCACCGTGCTGGGCCGCGACGGCCGCTCCTGGGGTGAGCATGCGCGCCCCGCCCCTCCTCCTCATTCACTAAGCCTTTGTCAACACGCAGGTCGCACGCTCCGTTGCTCTCCCCGCCCAACCGCCTACGCTGCTGTTGTTCTCCTTTCTGACGATTTTTGTTTAATTTCTACCTTATTTTACATTATTTGGGTCCGGCGCTAAATTTTCAATATGTGGCGCCTGTCGCAAGTCGTTAACTATGAAAGTCCGTTTGCGATTGTTTTCCTTCGACTTTTCTTTCTTTTTACCGTTATTTCATTGTTCATTGTATTTATTTTAACCAGTACGCCATAATATTGCTATTTTGTGCTACATACTCGCGACTATAGTTAGTAATACTCGAGGTTCGAATCACTGGAAGCGTTTGTTGTGGAAATGTGGGTGCGGGCGATGGTGTTACCTGCGAAAGGTTTTCAGGTTGGCAATCTGCACGTTCGCACGGGTCGTGTTTCTCTTCTCGTCAGGACGTTACGTGTGGCATACCTGCTCCTGGGCGTCCTCGACTCGCTCTTCTGAAACAAAACACTGACATTATTTCAGAAATTATTTTCAAATGATGAAATACGACGGGGTGGTCAAACTCTGAAGTTATGCGTGCACCTTCGCGTTTGTTTACATTTCATTGCGACTCTTCTTTCATTGGTCGTGTGATACTTCGCACCTGTTGGCAGATGTATAAAGCTAGGTGCAGCGGTTAAATTAATTTGCTTAGCATATCTATGGACGATGATTGAAGATTTGAAAAAAAAAGAAAGTGTCTTCCATTAATTGAGCATTCATATTAAATTTAGGAAGATCATGTTCGATTCTTCACGAAAAGATTTCGAAACGTAACCAGGTGCGAAGACTTTAACGCCCGAATGCACGCTGTTGAACAGCGCGGTGGCTAACGGTTCGCTAGGTTTCGCAATTTCGTAACAGTTTTGAATTACGAATATTAGTATAATATATAATTAGTATATAATAATTAGTACATATTCAATTTCTAAAATACTTCACATATCTTTTTATGGTTTCATATTTCATGCAAAGTTTAAGGTACAGATATTGTGTTTTTCTTTAATTCCCTTCACATGATTTTGTATTTATATTTGAGATCTTAAAAAGAAATTTGAAACTCTCTTATGAACAGTCACCTTCACTGAATGACAAATACTTTGGAAATAGGTTCCAATTAGTAAATTGCATCCGTATTTCCAATACATGCAATGTAATTTGGAATGCAGTATTAATGTGCTGTATGTGCGTGGTGCCCACTGCGAGTTGTGTGCGACCTGGGAATGCGGGAGGGCGGCAAGAGCAACGACGCTGTGCGCAACTCGACACAAACGCTCTCTGCTCCGCTTGACAGAGGAGAAGAGGGTTACAGCGCTCCAGTCACGCCCAAAATCAGATGTATATGAGATGTGGCTATAGAAAAGTTATAAAAATTCTACATGTTCATTTTAATGAAAATAGAAAACATCAAAAAACATTGTTTCATGCCGTTCAGTATTAAGACTCGAAGACTAATCAGTGAGGGAAGTCACTATTCACTGTGAACACAGAGTTGAACATTATTTCTGAAAAGAAATGGAAATGTTTTACATTTACGAAGATTTGAATGTGTATGTTGTAGGAAAATATGGCAATGAAACCTTACTGTTTACCTTACGTTAAAATCGTATTATAAATATATCACTGAAATGTTTTTTTTGTGAAAGGACACATGTCAGACAATTGCTAGCCATTGCTCCTTGAACTAAGGAAAACTCGCTATATTAGCTTCGTTAACATCCACCTTCCGAAGAGGAAATGTTTTATTCTCGAAGAGGAAATGTTGAATGCTGTCAATAGATCGATAATAACGGTCACAATGAAATAATGAACAAATGGCGGCAGATAAGATTCTAATATTTTTACGATTTAATTAAAAATTAGAGATTATCCGTACAATAAATTAAAACATCTTAATGATCTCCGGAACGGCACACAATTGTAGACACACAACTAGATCTTACTCGTGATTGGGACCGTGATTTATAGTATGGACTAATTATCTATGAAATAGTATGTATGCATATGCAGTAAATGCCTCGAAAATATGCCCCATAAAGCGCATTTTTAATCCATCACAATTCTGTTTATCGTAATTTTTACACCCATGACTTTCATATGGCACTTCACTCTTACTCTTCTGCTGAATGAAATTTCGGTGGGAAGTAATAGTAGTATCAGAAGTATTACTCTTGCACTGGGGTTTGTTTGCCGGTAAATACAGTGAATAATTTGTATTAGAACCACAATTGAACACAATTACGAGAATCCCATTGCAAGCCACTTTCACACTATGAAGAAGGAATACTTTTTCTTTTTAGCCCTCGTGCCCTCTGCGACATTTGGGAGTTCTCGAACAGATTGTGATTTTCCTGCAGAAAAATTAGAAATTTGAAAGAAAGTGTTGCTTTGTAAGAAAATAGACAAAATATGCATCATAAAAGAATGTTTAAATAATTGGAAAATGTGTTTTTAATAATTGATATTAACTCCAGTGAAACACGTATGGAAAAACATAAATCAAATCACAAGAAAGCAAAGTTTTTGACTACAGGAGGAAAATATGCGTCTGCACTGAAATCCGGTTTCAACTGATGCCGTACTTACCGTTTCATCTCAAAGGTTTCTAATCTGACACATCCGTGCATATATACATCCCGATTTTGGGGTTCAAAACCGCACGTCTTGTGTCTCCTACACCAATCTTAACCATCTTTGGAACATTAATACGAATAGATCTTAATCCTGACGCGAGTGCAAAGTTGTAGATCAAAATAACCTTAAACCCAAATTTTACGACCGAAAATTATTGAGGTGATTCCATTACTTTTGCTACATATACTTTTGGGTGGAAAGAAAAGTAAAACCGTTTCGGAAACTAGACGGAGTTCGTATCGCTACTGAGATATGGATACGAACTTCCTCAGCCATTTCGTGCTATTGTAAAACCACTCAGAAAGGAGTGCATTTTCCTTTCTTCCTTTTTACTTTCTAACTACTACTTATGCAGTAAAGAGAAAATAATGTAATGCTGCGCGAAAAAATGGCGAATTTTCGGCAGGAAAACTCTTATTACAGGTACAATGCAAAAGTTGATAAATCTAGCAGTTAACAGCTGCCACATTTAGAAGCAAAATCCACTAAAACATGGTGTAAACAGAATTCATATTTGGTGGGTCCTTGGTACCGAAAAATCGAATGACGACAAAACGCAAATGGAGTGACAGCGATTTACTCCAAAATTTATATTCCTCAGTCAATCTGGCTGATCGACCCTTTGAATATGAAACCGATATTTTAATTTTTTTTGGGGGGGGGGTACTTTACATGAAGTCGCTGGAAAATTTTCAAAATAAAAAAAAATAGCTCATTAGCTTTTTAGCAAATAGTGTTGTTGGATAGCGTGAAGGACGTTTAAGAGAATGCTGTAAGTCTCATCTTCGGTCAAACTCAGTTGCAAAAATTGCAAAAATTCTTTTAAAACAACTGCTTCTTTCCACAACTACAATTATGAAGATAGATATTTTTTCTCTTACTATAATGTGTTCCTTAAATAGGTTTTCAAATAAGGTCATGTACAATTTTTCGAATATTTGAATACTTTTCGCGTAATTTTGCATGAAAGAGCGTAGGCTTCCGCGGACGGAGTCAGTATTTACTAGGCTGTCTGGGAGATCCGGACAGCCTAGTAAATAAGTGCGTGCTGGTTTTTGCACCACTAGTTTAGAGTGACTTGGCAGAGGGCTGCTTGTGCTGGACGCCAGGTGTGTACGGGGCGCGTTGCAAGGGCCGTGTGATTTCGCATCGACGCACTCGCAAGGGGAATATTAGCACAAACGACGTGGCGGAAGCACGAGACGAACACAAACGCCATCGAACCTCTTGCAATGGAAGGAAGTGCGCGCAGTGTGAGCCGCAGGGAGCGCTGTGGCACATGCCCGAATAACAAAATAGTTGAAAAAATTGTGAAGTTCGACGTTCGTTTCGACATCCCTGCTATGTTAGTGAGTGAAGTGTTCCCGAATTCCGTCTCGTAAAGGCTTGGGTTGGGGACTTTCATATTCACGTGTAGCAGTTTTGAGTTTGTTGACTGAGTTGTCATTTGGCAGTGGTTCCGTGAAATCGCCTGGCAGTGAGCATTTGCGTTCAGATACATTTACTTTCCCGATCCCCTTGCCTTTTCTTTAAGACGCGATTGTTACGGGGCCCAATAGTTTGCATTCTATTTTCAGAGACCTAGGAATTTTTGTTTTTAAAAGTGAGAATTTGCTAGCTAAAAGAGCAAAAAAGATCAAAGCCAATATTTTCAAGCGGCTAGATGTGCTCGGTAGCATTGAAGGTGCCAGGAATTTCTTGGCAGCAGACACACGCATTCACGGGTTTTCTCCTTTAAAGCTGTCGTAATCACAAAGATATGGGCCCGCCATAATTCTTGGTTGTGCACTTTATGTAATTTTTATTTTGTGTAATTTTGTATTTACTGGAAGAAAAACTAACCGAGAATCTCACAGCTAAGTCTTGTCTAGATCACATATCAAGATTTTTCTAATTATTTTATATTATCAGAATCTTCAATCGTTCTGGAATGCCTGTGAATTCATTTATAAATGAATAAATGTATTGAAGGTGTAATAAAAAGGAAATAATCGAAGACACAATAGTTGTAGGAGAACGCTCCTAATTTCGTGATCGTTTTCACGCTATTTAAAGCAGATAACGTGTAGTTTATGTTCTTACATGTAAAAGTTGTTCTTAAATGTTAAATAAACATAATATAAATGTATGTAAAATAAACATGTTATGAAGTATTACAAATGCTGAAGTAAAATATAAAATCTTCAAGAGCTAGGAGAAAGATTGTAGAAAATATAGGGTAAAATTCGATTGTTCAACTTGAATTTTGTTTAGGGCTGTATGGTTTGGAACAAGAAGCTGCAATGGGGCGCCCCGGCTCCTCCTCGGGCCTTTCACCTTCCTGAAATACCTCTGCACTGGGCACCTTCTCCCCGGCGCACCTTCGTTGCTTTGCTAGTCGCGGTGGCGAACAGCGTTTAAGGCACCAAAATCATTTTCTTTAGTCTCCTACTCTTGAGGTCAAGTTTTCTTTGCCAACTGGCTATTAGGGGAAAGGATTATATCGCAGTTTAGCAGAACGCATGTTTCATCTTCATGGTAATAAGAGTTCGCAAGGACTGTGATGCTTTATATGCATAACTAATTACGTATTACATGATGGGTAACGCAATAGATTGTTATCAGTCTGTGTTCATGACATCATAGTACAAGTATGTAGTATCAATATAATGTTAGGCAAGACACATCTCACCATGAGCAGTTGTGGTTCGTGGTACGCCCACGAAATTCCACTTCCGAATATTAACAAAGAGTCTCAACTTTGTTGCTGAACAAGAAATCTACAAAGAATAAGCTATTTTGGACATTTGTACCAAAAAAAGAGTCGCTACCCCCTTGACTATTTCAAATTTGCTTTCGACAGCGTAACCGCGTTACGTCTAGCGAGTTGTGGCGTTGTGTGCCTGGTGTCTGGCGAGATGCCAGTCGCAGTGGTAATCGACGAGTGGTGCTGCTCGAATATAAATTTGGTCAAGGGTATGACAATTTTTCGAGTCTCATCCTGAATTTGTTCTGCGGATGCAATTTAAATACTCATAAACGTCTCGTTTCAATCTGAAAGGTTTATGCGAGAACTCGCTTTTTTCAAAGGAAACGAGCCCAAGTTCGTTATAACTTCTGCAATAGTTGTAAATGGAAATATAAATAGTTGTAAATGGAAATATAAATAGTTGTAAATGGAAATATAAATAGTTGTAAATGGAAATATCAATAGTTGTGAATGGAAGTATCATGTTCAGAATTGTTCTTTGCAAGATCTTTGTTGGAGAAATAGCAAGGAGATTTGCAATGGAGTAGATGCAAGTGAAGTTTTGCCGTTAAATTTACAACGTGCGCTTTAGGAGGATGGGGATTAAACAATTTTATTCTAAATTATTTTCAAACTACTGAAAATTGTCGATTTCACTTCAGAAATCGCTTAGTCAAAAAGCTCATTCGGTGGCGACGGTTAGTTGAAAGTTAGCCAAGAAAATAAATAGCAACTTGTGTTAATGTTTATCTAGTATGTCGTAGTAATTTGGTATTAAAATGAAACACAATCTGTTGTGTTTTTTTCTCAGTACGTTTCTTTCGTAACAGAGTCATTGCATTTGAGGTTCGAGAGAATCTTAATCTTAACACCGCGATTTTTTCACAAATTTGCGTATTTCCTGATACAGGTTTAATATCAAAGCATTTACCTTAAGCATATTTAATATCAAAGCATTTACATATGGTATTATAAAAAAACGTTAACTTATTGTTAGAATAGAATAAAACTCTGAAAAAGAGTTTCTTTAATGATTTTAAAAGTGAAAGTATTTGCCTGCGTTAGACTCGTGTAATTCGCTTCTAAGTATGCCGAAGGTTGTTGCAGAGGAGATCCTCTAAGAAGGGTCCAGTTTGATAGGTGAGAACGTCATGTAGAACGATGGCATTGCAAGAGATGGTGATGAAAGCCATTTACTAATGAACTAACTGTAAACGAGTGCATGGATATAACGTGCATTTATGTTGCCAGCAATGGCCTACCAGTATCTGTCAAAACGGTCCCTCCTTCTAAAGCTCTCTCTATAGTAAGCTGTCGCATGCAAACTGAAGTTGAGAAAAGGCTGACGTAGCGGATGCGCAAGTGTGCGCTGCACTTACGGCTGCGTGGGCGCCGCCCCCTGCCCGGCCCTGTCCGAGGGGCGCGCCAGGGAAGACCCTGTGTCGGGGGCGCCGCGCCGGAGCGGTGCCGAGCCGGGGCTGCGGTGGAGCAGCGGCAGCGGAGGCCGTGCTGTCTGTGGCTGGCGCGGCGAGCGCGGCGCGCGGGCCCCGCTCGATAACCACTGCGGCGCACGCGAGGGCCGTGCGGCGCGGCCCCGCTCCGCGGCTGCGCGCACGCGGCCGCCCTCGCCGCCCACACCGCCCACACCGCCCACATCGCCCACATCGCACAACCGCAGTGCCATTGGGGTAGCCGACGCAGGGGCTCAGCCCTTTCCGTCACACACGCGCCGCTCCCCGAAACACCTCCAAACTCTTTGCAAGCAGGGGAGGCGTGGCATTTCAAAAATACAAGCAGCTGGAAGGTAACGTTTTATGTATGAATTTTCGACGACGTGGAGGCGCAGGTCTGATCAGAAAAAACACAATATGAGTCATATAATTGGCACTGAATGTGTCAATTCTTCCAAAAACTACATGCCACTTATCACAGCAAACTATTCACCCCTAAGTGAAGGCGTACGTATGAAAATGTACTGTCCTAATTAGACAGGGTAGTTCACCAGTATGTGCCATGTGAAGGCGTTGCCTCGGCTCTCAGGTGCGAGAAATGAACGTTCTCTCATGGTGAGGATGCAGGTCATCGGCAGCGAGAGATGGATTCTTGGACAAAGCACTCTTGTGATTTACATCTTAATATAGGAATAGGCTCGTGTGAAACAGAGCAACGATTTTTTTGTCGAACCCCGTACATTTCTGTTGTTAAAAATTTATACAAGTAGTTATTTATACAAGAAAATTTATACAAGAATGTTAGAAAAAATACTATCTTTCAATGTTATATTTTAAAATTTCTTGTTGCATTATCGTGTATGAATTTGTCATAACTTTTGAAGTAACCCTAATATGAAATCACAACTTTCGCCATTGTATGACGACTTTGATTCACATCATGAGCCATAAAATGTTTCTATCGGTATCAAAACTAGCCGAATGTCCAAACCTTGGAGTTCCCTTACGTGTTTAGTTTCATAAATTTCATAATATATCTACCTACACAAATTCGTATACACAAAGACCCAAGAAACTCGGCGTGTCTTTCCACCAGTTCTATTAATTTATCCTATTCCATTGCCAATCCAACCTATCGCAGGTCTCAAGAAAAGTGTGGTCGGGGGAGAAGTTACCGAGTTACGGAGGATCTGTATGCCCACCAGGGGGGGAGAAGTTACCAGTATGTCCATATGTCGGCATTTCGGCCAGTCTATCCGTCTGTTACACCTTCGTGATCCTACTGAAAGAAGTACCAAATTGCCATTTCGAAAACGTCGCGACATTTCAATCCAAACCACCTACCTCGGAACCCAAGTTCACTGAAAACACTGACTGGGTACTGCGTGCACGTGTTAACACAGACGTATTTCATTGGGACCACAGTCTGTCGGCTGCTACCCGCCTGAGAATCTCTCCATCAGCCTGCTTCTTGCACGGTCGCTTTCTGAGTACGTGAGTATTGTCCCTGATAGGAACTCTGCTCGTGCAGTGCCCCTGATAGGAACTCTGCACGTGCAGACAGTACATACAGTGTCGTGGTTGAAATTGAGCTTATTTCCAACGGGAAATTGAGCAATTGAGCTTATTTCCACGTATTTCCATGAAATAGTTTCTCAGGAAGGGAAAGTGTTCACATCCAGTCTTGTATTCGCGGTAGGATTCAACGGTTTTCGGTTATCATTCAACATGGGAGAAACGCCATTTTTGAGCAGAATATTGGGCAGTATAATGGATAAGCGGAACCCGTAATCACAGACGGGAGGCAAACGGTCTCCAGGCTCTTCTATATTTTTAATTTTATTATTTTGACGCTTCTGCTATTTCTACCAACACTTCAGTACCTTCAAACTATCACTTCTCTATTGCGTGTGCGGATTGTCAATTTAAACATACTGATTTATCACATTAATTTGGTTTTAAAAGTAGCTTTGCTTGTCACCGGGAGAGATGGCTCAGGGCATCAACTGATGTCACTGCAGTCCGTCTGGCCGGGGGCCCTAGGTTCGAGTGCCGACGGTGCCAGGAGTTTGTCACCTAATTAGAGCAGTCGTTGTCTGGATGAGAATTCTAGCAGACGGCTGCTATCATCTGTAGTTTTCCGTGGTTTCTCCTATCAACCCCAGGAGAATGCCGGAGCATTACCCAAACAAACGGGCCGCCGACTGCTAGGGGTCTTTCCTACCTCTTCCTTGTCCTATCACCATCCTTACTTACTCGCACTTTCACTAGCATGCACTACTCTACCACACATGCCGAGAGACCGGTCGTGAGCTTACACATGCCCGGAATCACTAACAATCAATCAAGCAGGCATCTTTGTATTTTTTTTTCAATGACTATACTTGGTAATATCTTGATATTTTTCTCGTTTAGCACTAATAGGATCAGTAGCAAAGCTGAATTTTATAAAAAATCTAGCTAACGAACTAGTTGCCAAGGAATTAAAAAGGAGAGCCAAGGAATTTGAAAAAGTAAATTAGCAAGTCATAAATCCCCGACTAAGCATGCGGAGTCAGTTTAACTTCATCTGTGATAAGGTAACATAAATTCAATCTGTAGTTACGGGTTAAGAATATAATGAAAGTGGAACAAAAAAAACTGAAATGGAGACACGCCACTTTGGAAATGAGCTCTTGTATTGGAAGGTGCACCGACTTGGATGGATGACATGCCTCCATTTTAATAGAATAAAATTTGGGTCTGATATGTTTCCTGCCCTCGTATTAAAAGCGCTTCCAAACGGTCTCGAAACTACCCGTGCAGTGGACTTGTCTTTTTGGCATTTCGCCCCCCGACAAGTTGTATTTTCACTTCAACTTCATCAATAATTTTCGAAGAAGGCACTTCAATTAAATCAGAAAATAATCAGAAAGACAATGAGGTTTACACCTACAGAAATAAGTTTAATTATAATGATAAAATTAAATACTCGTATTTTCTGGGTCAGCGTAAGCTCTACAGACAATTTTACAAGGGGAAAGCTCTGCAATGAATGTTACACGATATCATTTTTATAATTTATTTGAGTCCGCCCCAAACCCTTTCCTGTCGTGCTTCGCAGCGGGACACGAACCCCGAGCTTATCTTCGCCAGCGCGTGCTTTGTGGTGCGGGGGAGGGTGTGGAGTCGTGCACGAAACCCGTTTGCCACGCGCACGACGGGAGCTCTGTGTAAGGGCTGCGGCGGTCACGCGCCTTCGCGATACGCGTCGGTTTTACCCGGACCCTTACCCTTGGGGTGAACGCAGGCATCTGCGCCCACAATCACGCGGTTGAAAGTCTTCATATTCCCTAATCGTTCTAGCTGATGTCGCGGCCCCTTGAATTTGAAATATTTTAATTTTAAAGAGTGCTGTACATAAAACTCTGGGACACATTCAAAATGTAAAAAAAATGGCTCCATGGTTTGTGATGAAGTTTTGTTGTTAGATAGTCGGTAGAATGTTCAAGAAAATGTTCCATGAAAATGTCTCATGTTGGTTAAAAAGCCTGATTTTTCGTAAATTGGAAAAAATCAAATTCTTTTCGGCGTCCTCCTACAACTACCACTATGAAGATACATTTTTTCCAACTTCCAATTTACTGCTCTCCGTGAACGTAAAACCTAGCTCACGTACATACCTTGAATTCAGTTCCAGATATATATTTTCATTTAAAGTTTTGGATAAAAATTCTATTGCTTGAAACTTTAGTTTTCGCACCAAATTTTCTACGATTTCAAATGAGTTTTACACAAAATGATGACTGAAATGTGTTAATTTGAAGATAAATTGTTGTATAAATAGTATTTTTTTTTATTTTTGTATTCCAACATTATAAAAGAATCTATTCTGTTGCAAGAAATCGTTCATAATCGGGCATTTTACGGCACAAATGATGACATATTAGATTTTATGTCACGAATGTTTGCGTCATCACACATTCAGCCAATGTAGCGAGAGAATCGGGTGAGGTAGAGCTAAACGTAACAGCCGACCAGCGTTTACTCGCATGACGTCAAATATCCGAGTTGTCACAGGAAAGTTATTTCGTAAAATTAAGTTTGATTCTCTTATAAATGTATAATGCTGTTATACAAAAAAACAGAGTATGCAAAACGTTTATAATGTTGCTTTATTGCATTAGTATAAATTTTAAAACTCGCTCGTTTTCAAAACATGTACTCATGCAATAAAGCTTATTATAAACTAATTGCATAAACTACTATTTTTTGATACAGCATAAGTTTTACTATCAATTCGAGACCATAATACTGAGCATCAAAAAGGAACATACTTTTTACTTTTACAGTGATATGTAACGCATTAGTTGACACTTGTACAGTATTCGTAATTTTTAAAAGACTAAATATGGCTGTAATAATTAATGCACTTCAGCTTCCCAGTGCCCCATCTCCATCAGGTATTTCGTCCAGTTTCGTTGTTGCATTGAGAAAATACTGAGACGGCCTCTTATTTTGCTTTTGAACATAAATATAGCTTCACTATGCGCACGTATTGTTGAGCTCTCCTTTTACTAGTGGTAGGAGTAGACCCAGAAGTCTGGGTTGCTATTTTGTTAGCAATACTAAAACATCAATTTTGTAGTTCGCTTACTGATGCAAATGAGTTTTCTATAACTCGAGAGCGAAGTTATCGTATGTTTTCAGATTTGCTACTCTCGCTTTATTGTAAATTTATTTGGCATTCAAATATGATCAGAAAAGGGGTTGGGAAGAGTTGCTAGAGCTTACGTGTGCAAATTTATAGTTATCCCTTCTACTGGCAGTTTTTAATATTTTTTCTCAAATATAAAACAAATCAGAGATTCGCGTTATGAGCTAAAGGAACGCCAAAATTGTTCATACTTTTTGAAGAAAAGAAATTAAAAAACGCGATGGCCAGTGTCCGTTAGTGAATTCAGCTGAGCGTAATTTGATTGAACGCATTAGCTTTTGACCCCACAAATTGCCTTAACTCTCCAGTACTAACCGCGCCAGCCCGACCACACACCCACCCACTCCTCTTTTGATATTCCATGGCTTCCTTGGAAATGTAGTCGCATGCACTTGTCAACGAGTAGTCAACTTTTTTCTGGACTATTTGAAGTTTTTTTTTCTTTTGTCTACTGATAACCCTCGATATCGTTTCGTACTTCTGTGCTGTTTTACATTAGGAAGAATGTTTTGTCCCATTCTTCGTTATCTTTCGAAT